CATGTAAGCTTATTCATTTATACCAAAAACCACTCAGAATATTTTTTCAAAGATCAGATGAATGCTAAGAATCAGACATTAGCTTGGACTTGTTATCCACATGCTCCAAAACGTAACGTCAACAAATGTTGTTCAGTGGGGATATGGGACAAGGAGATTATATCTTTAAAGCAGTAAATGAAATTCATTTCACACATTCACTAAATGTTTTTGTAACTAGTTATTTTTTATTATGAATTTATAGAAAACTAATAATTTTTGGTAGCCTTTCTCAAACTATTCACCTATCCTCAATATACAGACTCTATGACTATCTGTATTTCATTTTAAGTAAAACAGAGGCTTCTGTACTTCAGATTATCTTGAGAGTCTTCCTCTTCCATTTCTTGCTAAAGCAACTCAACCTTTAAAGGCATAAGAGTTGCTAAGATAGATAAACATAAAGTTAAGTTAAATACCAATATGAGGATATTCTCATTACCTAGGGACATCTCCAAAATATAAAAATACTTGCAGGTTAAACCATTCTGCCTTTATGAAGAAAACTTTACAGAGTCCAGTGATAACCTTCCATAGTTTTCATTGTGTCCTCTGAAACTCCTGTCTGCCGTCCTATTCCTAAAAAATTCTTTAAATGTGGCAAAACAATTTTGATGCACTACTTCATATTCCTACGTCAGTGTTTAGTATATTGTGGTGTATGTGCACCCAGTAACACACCAGAATTTAGTAACACAGTACTCACTGCTGAGTGACACGATGAGGGACAGAAAAATCTAATTAGCACTTCTCATCAGAACAGCCGTTGGTGAAATGATTAAAGTGAACATTTTCCCCTACTGTCGCTAAGGAGTTAACCCAAAAGGTGTGTAAGATGTGATATGCCTTGTTCCATCATTACCAGTGCAGATCTAACTGTATTTTATGCTGTGTGTTGTTAGACATCCACATTGGTGACCATTAGTGTTAGATAACTTTGCTGTTACCTGAAGTCTCCATTTTCTGTTTGCCTTTTCCTAAAGATAAAATGACAAAAACCATAAGCTACTGCTGTACTGCATAGCAGTGCAGACCATCTGAAAAGCAAACACAAGCTTAAAATGCTTCCTAAAGTCTTTATTCCTTTCAGGCTTCCAACTTGTGCAATAAATAGTCAATCCCCCCAAGTCTGCAGGAGCATTTGCAGTGGACATCAATCTGTTCACGTGACCAATTCCATCAGAAACGTGTGTAGTTCAGCTGCACAAACTACAAGACAATTTCAATGGTTCTCATTAAGCAATTATGAAATATTGGGCTTTTATAATGTGCTTTACAATTTGCCTTTGAGGTCTGAAAAGTCTCTGATTTAATAAGCATTGCAAAAGCTGAGAGAGAGTTTTACTCAGCAGAACTCTTCCTCCTGTAGCCCCCCAAAATGGGAATCATTTTATTGATTTCTTCAAATCTTGTGTTGATTTTGACAATACAAACACATACCCTGTTTTTAACGTGACCAGGAATTCTACTACAAGAGTTTTGTACAATTCAGATTGTTTCTATGATACAGCAGAGGTTTGATTGTTTCCCACACTATCATCTGTGACGGTGCAATGAAATGACAGCTCCATGCATAAGAAGACTATTCAAGGAGTCAGAGAGACTCAAAAGAAAAACAGACAGAGCTAAGATAAAAGCAACTTTTATTAAAATACTCTTCAAGCTTTGGAAAGCATAAATTAATGAATGTGTAGCTACTATAATACATTATTTTACAGGAGAACCATAAGGCCATGAAGCTTTTATAAACACAAGAAAGCCTATGAGCTTCACTCTGTAATAAATAAATACTACTGTCTCATCTTGCTCTTGTTAGAGGATGTGTTGAAGCTCTTACAGGTACACAGCAACGTTCTGCTCAACTTTTTCTAAGTTTTCCACAAAATGAACATATTACTAGTTTAAGCAGCAGAATCTTTATATTGAGCTTCCACTTTGATTTGCAACACTTTGACATTTTTTTTATTTGCTTAAAAGCTGTTTGTCTTCTTGCTCTACCTTGTAAAACATTTACAACCACACTAAAACTGACCTGCTGAAAATCTAGTGAATTCCAAGATGATGATTCTGGTAAGTACAACAATTTGAAATAAATGCCATACAGTCCCTCTTAAAATCAAAATAATACAATTTCTTGTTCTTTTGTTTATAAATTTCTGCTTTCTAACAACCTACAGTAACTCAAAACTCAGCAATGCAAATGACTCCTTTAAGGCAAAAAAACCAACTGCAACAGCCATCTCCTCCCCCATGCTGGGAGATTCAGTCACCCAAGTTGTTCTGTTTTACTTATGAATTTTTTGTCAACTAGTGATTAGCACAAAAACATTTTCATCTTATTTTTTACACATCAGTAGGAAAGTGTTAGAAAAGTATAGAAAAGGCTAGAATTTCCCTTGCAATAAGGCTTGTGAAATGTGTTGTTTGTGGTGTGGTGGGGTTTTTTTTCTTTTTTTTTTTTTTTTGCAAAGCAGATGGAAAAGAAGAAAGGAAGTGTTTGTATTTTGCTTTTGCAACTTGGGTAAAATCACTGGACATTAAGAGCACGTGCTGAGACTTCATGGTGCCAGTCACGTAATTTTGTATATTTGGGACTAAAGACGTGGATGGGAACCTTTTCCCTGTGGAAAGAAGTGATAGAAGAAAAATAAGAAAGAAAGAAAGTTTGTCTCAAGCAGTTTCACAAGCGAGCATGCAATCTTCATGCACTACTCTTATCTGCACCTTGCCTTCTTCTCTGTCAAAAACTTGGATTCACTGTTAGGCAAAGTCAGTAGAAAAACTCCCACTGACCAAGAACCATTAGACTTGGCCACTGGTTGGTCCTCAGCTTCAACAACGCTTATCCCAAAGCAAGGAGACAGACTCATTCGCAGTCCAGAACAGTAATACTTCCCAGCTACGCCTTGAAATCTGATCCACACTCACAAGTCAAGAATGCCTGGTTAGATTTAGGAAAAGGAAATCATGGCGACAAGCTGACCTCGTACAGAAAACCAAATAAGTCCAAGTTTATGGAAAATCTCAAACTCCTACACAAGCATTAATACTGGACTGCACCAACAGATTTAGAACGGTTGGTCTATGCAGAACACAATCTTGATTTTTACATGCTGAAGTAGAAAGCAAAAAAAGCAACATTTAAAAATACTCGGATGTCACACAAATGCACTACACAACGTCAGTTAAGAATTAAGACATGCAAAGCATTAAAGTAATAAAAAAATGTAAAACATCAACTCACTTAGTCTTCTTTGCAGCTTCGTGTTCTGGTTCTTTCACTGCAAGAAAACAGAGAATTTTTATTTTCTAAGGCATGGTATCACCTCACACTGAGATTCTCCCTTGTGCCAATGCATTCACCACAGTAGGAAACTGCAACAGGTCTTGCTAGGACTCCTAAATTCTAAATATGTCCCAGAAATGAGGTATGTCTATAAAACTCAAGAGCCTCTTTGCCTGCAGGATAGTTCAAAGGTGCCTCTGCTGGACTCTGCCCTTTCCCTTGGCTTGGCTCACTCTCCACACTGGCATTGAGAAAGGTCAGTTGAGAAGGGGAAGATGAATGGAATTTGGAAGGCATTTCTTTTGGACAAACATCCAGTGGATTTATATCAGGTGATAATCTGAGCATCTGTTTGCAGCCAAGCTGTGACCCATCAAGGTGCTAGCAGACAGCACATGGGATAATGTAAATTCCCAGTTTGGCAAATCTAGTCACAGTCACTTTCTTACAGTATTTATCAACATTATTAATTCATCAGTACTGGTGATTATTTGACATTTAGGTCCCATATTCTGCCCTTACAAGGATTAATGAAGAGAATCCAAAGATAAACAATGATCCATTAATAGACTAGTGCAATGCAGGACCACAAAACAATCAGGTAACTGTCCAAACTCAGAACATTTATCACACATGGACAATAATCTTTATTTGGGGAGATGTTATCATTGGCCATATCTGCCAGAGAATTGATAGTTGATTTACTGAAATCTGCCCCCAGGAAGGGTGTCTGATTTCCTCACTGCCTTCTTTATTGTAGTGCTAGCTGTGAAAAGCAGAAGAATGAGATCATCACCTCTGTATTAGCTGCCTCAGTGTGAACATGACTGAGTTTAAAATTCCTGAAGGCATTTCTGACGGCAATGAATTATAATTGACAGCAGAATATGAAATTGAAGTTTTACTGTCTTACACTGTATAAGAAGGAATGACCTTCTCCACTGTCATCTGTTCCAGTCCACATTGCATGTAACCACACCACAGCATAAGCAGAGGATGGAAACATGACCTGGGAATAAGCTGAGGAACTATAGATTTATGTTCCTCATTTGCTAAATCATTGCAGACCACATACCTTTGTACAACTGTCAAAGATTTCCTACACGCCTGAAAACATCTTAACTTTTCTGGATCATTAAATCTGAACAGGAATATTTCCATTTTGGTGATACGGGAAGGGAAAGAAACAACAAATACATATCTGCCAACATCTTTGGGAGCAGAAGTGGAAATTTGAAGATTTATCTGGAATTAATAACCACGTCAGTCAGGAATAATGTCCAGCAATGTATACGTCCTGAGCTATTTAGTAACCGCAGGAGTTTGACAAAAATATTTTCCTAGTATAGTCTTCCCAAATTTTTTTGTTTTGTTTTGAAGAGCTCACCAAAACTCTTCCTACTGGATTCATTATTCAAGAGGGAAAACGCAACAGATGTGACCGAATCCTTTTAACACTTCCTCCTACTCCCAGCTTTTAAAAGCACCTCTCCCCCCAAGGCGACTGGCTTTATTTTGTTCACAGCCAGCTACTCACTGTGATCAGTGCCGGTGATCTGGGCAAGGATGCGGAAGGAGCGGGACTGGGTGGTGCCCGTGCGGGGGTGCCAGTCTTCAGTGTCTTCAATCAGTCGCTTCTTGCTGGCATCGCTGTGGGTGGGCGTGTGGTAAAATTCTGTGTAGGTATCCACAATGTGCTTCCGTGGGGGGCTGCGTCAAGGAGAGGAGGCAGCAGTGAGTGAAAAGCTTCAGAGACCACCTGGGTTGGGGCAGCTATAAAAGTCAGTTCTGCCCCTGCTTTTAACAGCATTTAAAGGTGGCTTCTGTGTTTGAATGCATATGTGCAGCAGGGAGCTCCACAGGCACACCTGAACACAGATTCAGTCCTCTGAACCAAACACAGCTTTATAATTACTCTAACTCGACTGAAATATTCTTCCTTGTTTCACTGCTGGAACATTTGAAACCACAAAAGTCAGTACTATCAAGACATTTAGATGTTTAAACCTTTACCGTTTGGGTGGGTTTTTCCTTGGAGATGACAGAGAAAGACAGCAAGAGAGTTTTCCCAGCGTAAACAGGAAAAGCAGGAAAAGAAAACAAGAAATAAAGTCAGAAAGTTGAAACAGAAGTACACCTAGTTATTCTGTTGTATTAATTTTGGGGGGAAAGTCACTTATATCTAAGGAATAAGGATAGTCTTACTCTACTACCAAAATCACAGCACACAACCCCCATACTTAGCCTAAACTCACAGAGATTTCCTTACAGGGTTGAGAGGGGAATTTGTGTTGGTAAAGCAGGGTGGTCTACTTAGTACAGATCAGGTGCCTCTTGACAAATTCTGCCCTTGGTTCCCAAAAGGTAAAGCACTAGCTGTGTGCAAGGGCCACCCAATACACACCAAGTTGTTTGTGCTTGGCAAAGCCTAGATCAGAACCAGGCCCTTCAAAAGCACAGGTAGCAATATTCTGGAGCATAAGGTGGAGACACTGTTGCTCTATACCCTCTCTGAAAGTCAAAAAAATGGGGTGATCATTTCACCTGGAAATTTTCCCCATGCTATTATCAATCTCTGCATTAGCAGACCTGAACGGATACAGGATTTTAAAGCTCTATTTTCAGTATCTGATATAAAAAACATGTAATGGCATTGCTAAGTTTAAGAAAAAGGAAGAGAAGATTCATACTATATATATTACTCCTAAATTCTACATTTGTTATCCCAAAGTATTAATATTTACGATCCTTTAAATGTACACTTATTTTTAGATAATATACAGGAGTAACTGAGCAAAACTAACTCCTAAAACATAAAAATTCTAATAATAATTTAACAAACAAAATAGCAAAACTTTAAAAGTAACTTTTATTTTTGCCACTACTTCCCCACTGTCCAAAGTACTTCTGGTGAAAAAGGTGGAAGATATGAAGAGAATGATGTAAATTGTTAGTTGCCAACAAGTAAGAATTGGGCCCATTCAATGCAATGCATTAGTAAATACTTAAGCTTAAAGGAATACTTACTACTTCAAAGAATGATGCGAAAGATATCATACAAAATTATATGAAAAGATTGAATTTATTGACACACAGCATTAGTGAAGTATGTGTAACACACAGAAGTTACTAAAAGCTGGAGAGGTATAGAAATGAAGACAGTGGTGGTTCCAGGATGGAGCACAAGAAGTACAGAGAAAAATGAAGTAAAGCATCCAGACAGTTAATAGTAAAAAAAAAAAAATCTGAAAATTAAAGCAGTAACTAGAGGCATGAAACTACAGGGAAATGTAATTATTCACATGCAGTTGACTACATTCTAGCAACTACCACAGTGAAATAAGTAGTCTTTTACATTTGTTGAAAGTGGCTTTATAAACAAAATATCCTGCTGACTTCTCTTGTAGATCGTACTGGTGCTTTTTTTAAGGCTTAAAAGTCTACTAGTAATGACACACTGCGGCAACAAGGTGGTGCCAGAGGCAAAGGATAATTTAATGAGACTGACTCTCCCTCAACAGCCTTAAGGCAAGGGGAGAAAAGACAAGCCAATAAAACCTCAATCATATTTATCATCCCTAACTTGTAGAAATCACAGTATACAATGTAACCCTTATTTTTTTTTTTTTGTATGAATTCAGAATCCAGCTCTTCATTTCATGGTACTCAAACCATTTTTGCTCTTATACTGTATTTCACCATTTACAAGTTGAATTACCAAAACCAAATAGCCATAGGTGCACCAAGAATTTATCAATACGCACAAACACCACGCAAATATTTTGTGGCATAAAAGAAGCTGCAAAATGTAACACAGTGAAAAGCAGATCACAACATGTCCAATGCAGACAAAACCATTTACTACACTAAGAAGTTACTAAGAAAAGCTGAAGCTGTTTTGCAAAATTTAAATAGAAAACTCTGTAAGAGCTATCATTTTGCAAAACAAGAAAACATGCTGGTTATTCCAACAGGAAAAGAACAACCATAGTTCAACTCCAGTGCTGCTGATACTAACTTTGTCACTGTTGTTATCTGCAAGGGAAAAAAAGTATTTGATGTGTTAATACATTCTTTGCCTCTTGAAATATTATAGGAGTTTCCAAATTCAAGCTCTGGTAAAACCATATATCATGTAAGACAAACTTACAATCACCAAGAGAACCTACAAGGGAAAAATTTAGCCCAGCTGAACTTAAATTGAGTGAAGTCTGTGGACATCTTACCTGTTTCAAGCAGCAGGCACGTTTTCATGCAAGAGCTGGCAAGAAGGTCTTGATAAAAGCATAACTGCACGCAGCCTAGTGAGGGCAAATTGCTTTATTTCTAACCCAGGACTAACTTAGGGAAACAAAACTTCCTTCCACATCCTGAAGTGAAGGCAGATAGTTTATATCCTGAATATGGTTTGAGTGAAGCCAGGAAGGAGGAAATTGTGAGTACAACATGGTGCGTATGTGAAGAACTGCATTTGCTCAGCAGTGCTACCTATGATCAAGATACAAGTTGCCCTTTTTTTTTATTTATTTTAAATTAATAATACAAAAGACAGAAGCAAAATGGAAATTATTTCAGATTAATCAATTATTCCAAACGTCAATGTTTCTGAAACTTCACAAATGGGATTGATTCCATTTTAAATGGGAAGAGAGTTAAGCATCATTATTGACATGCAATTTTTCTAAGTGAAACTAAGTAGTGTGGTGGCAGAACAATATATACTATATACAAAAATGCTTGGTTTTGTTTTCTGCCTTAGGACTACAAGACACTTAGCCCAAACACATTACTGTAAGGTAAGTGGCAAAATTAGGTTTTTAACGCTCTAAACCTTTTCAAGCTTTCCCAAACTAGATCTGCAAGGTTGTCTGTGAGACAGGGATTTCTTCACCTGTCAGATGTGATAATCTTCAGTCAGTATTATTCACTCTCTAACCATAAGGTAGGGCAGGCCACTAACAGCTCTCACTCAGTCATCACATCTTGGTTGTCAAGTGCATGGTCTATGCCTGCAACACTTCCCTCCAGAAGACTTAGGGTTTTTGCCATTGTTCGTCTTTTTCAGTACTAATTGTTACTTATAAAGACTCCTTACATCATTATTTGTTAAAACAGCATTCCTGGACAGATAGGAGTTGTTTTGTCAAAGCATATTCACTCCATCTGTCAGCATCAAGCAAGTCCTTGGGATCTCCCAATTTCATCCCACTTCCATACAGAGTGGACTCCTGCCATCAGCTGTTTAAAGAAAGGACTGCAAATCATCATGACAACAGTGTGATATAAAATGCATATGGGCTTCATTATGAGTCCACATATGGAAAATATTTGTATTGCAATATAAAGGGAACAGGTACCTAAAGAAGGATTTTTCCCTGCCATGAGAAGTTCAACCAAGACTGCAGTTGATTCAGTATTTTAGTTGACGTGGATGTTTATCTTTCTGTAGGGTTCTTCATATACTTTATATACTGAGAAAATATCAGAGAGAGGCACTAGGCCTATTTCTCCAGCCCCTGTCCTTTGAGAGAAATGAACAGGAACCACAGTCTTTAAGTTTTAAGTACAGGTTTTACATTCTTAGATCGAAGAGAAACCCTACAGCTCCCCTCCTGCCCTTTTTATCACTTAATTCAGTCTGCCAGACACTGCTGCTGGGCACTGAGACTAGCTGGCATGAGACCACTCCTGCCCAGCCTCCTCCTCTCCCTACAGAGCAGCCACTGGGATCCTGTCCCTGGGGTGCTACGGCTCCCGAGCCCTGCCCAGGAATTTCTGGGAGAGCCCAAGGCAGCCCCAGCCAAAGCATGCTGCCAAAACAGGGCAGCGGTGCAGGTCTGAGTGCCCAGGATTGCTGTTGGGCTTGGTTTAATTTAGTAATCCATTTTTCACTAGCCTAGATGCTACACCAGACTTAGTACAAGATTTCTACGCAGCCTTACAGACCCTGAAATATTAGGTCTATGATACCCACTTTAACATCAACAATTACTTGAATATGAAAATTATTCCAATTTTAAATACATTGCTTTTTTAGGGTAAAGGCAACATTTAAAGTTACATATGCATTATAACACTGAAAAAAATCTGTTCAACCCTGCCAGCTTCCTTAAATGTATCTTGAAGTTTCTCAAGGTGTTATACAGAGAAGGAATGTGACATCTGTCCTTTGACCTCCCTTCAGGGACCTTTCTCCACTGGTCCTTCCAGGGCCACAGTTGATCTTTCAGAGCACCTCATTCCCAGCCGCTGCGGCACCCACTGACCCTTCTTGACAGACAGACTGCTCTGCATTTTTGAGTGCCTGCTGCTTTCAGCCGGGAGTCAAAATACGCAGTGAGACACAGACATCGAAATAAATACCGGGCTTGTTGTAAGGTCCAGAACACACCGTGGTACAACCCACTGTGTAACACGTTTTGTGGTCCTGACTCAATTTAGATGTGACACTTTATAAGCTGATAAGTGACTCCTGAGAGAAATCATCATCAAAAGTCTGGCTTGTCCCCTTGAAGCACCTTTTTAAGATGAGAGTCCTTCCTCAGAGCTTGCTTCAGAGGATTCAACGCCTCCTCCAAGCCGTGTTCTATCGTCCTTAAACAAGCCCAGCTTTTTTCCTGCGAGGAGAGACCCTCACAGGGAAAAAAAAGTCCCACCTACCCATTTTGCAGTTTACTCTCCCCCTGGTTCTCTCTGAATCCTCGTCGTGGCCCCTCGGCTACATCGGGGTCGCCGTGGCCGGCAGCGGCGCTGTGCGTGGCGGC